ATGACTTAATTTACTTTCTGGTGCTTTCACTTCCAGAGACACTTGTAAGCACTGTGTAACTGCCTCGAGGGTGCTTGACCATTTTAACACAACGTGGTGCGATCATCCCCCTTGCGCGGAGCGCGGGTTCTCCGCCCCGCACAACATGATCTACTCGACCACCATTATGGTTATCGCCAAAAAAAAAAAAACGGAGGTAAAAAAAAAAACGGCAACCTGGTTGACGTATCATCGTCATGACCTTGTGCTCTCTACCTTCCTCCACAATACAGGCTGTTTTTTCTTTACCTCGAGGATAGGTGGTCTGATGCGTTGCGCGGAGGGTTTGTGGCCCAATAGATGCCGGCGGCTGCCGTTGCCTTGTTCCAATGCTCGGTGATCTCGTTAGTTTCGGCGCTCTTCAATAGTGTTACTGGAGAACAGAATTCCGTCCATCCTTCTATAAAGAAAAGCTCTAGATACCTCGCAGGCGTAAGCGTGTTTCGTTCGAACATCGAACGTTTTCGCCGCACAATGAACCCCGGCTTTCCATCTACCAGGCGGGGTGGGCGTTAGGACCCTCAATCTTGTTTCTTCCAACGTGAGGTCGACCGCATATTCTTTGTTGGTGCCACACGGTTTGCTGTAGGAATCGGAGACAAAACAGAACAAAAAATATGAACCCGTCGCTACAAATGTGGATTTCATCTACGTTTCTGTATGGATTAGAAGAACGAAAAGCTCGGGACATGGCAGTAGCAGCGGTAACAACGTAGACCGCAAGGCACAACATTGCGTTCACCCTATCCTTCAGCATATACCACCGAACAAGTGGGAACATCGGTTGTCCACCGAGTGCACTAGGGACGGGAGAAGGAAGAAAAACTGTAATTTGAAACGCGTTTCTAACTCCTAACCTCGTGCATGCTCTGGCTTATCGAAACTGCTGCCTTACATGCGTAGGACACTCGAGCCCCAGACAATGATCTCGTCCTGGAGTGGGTCCACGGGTACCGCGGCCACGACTGCCGCAACGCGGCCATGTACACCGCGTCCGGGGAGGTACTGTTCTTCGCCGGGAGCCTCGTCGTCAGGTACGAGGAGGGGAAACCAGCTGGCAGTGTAACCAAGAGTGCACAACAAGGTGCTGTGCCGGTGGGTGGTGCTGCGGAGGGCACATGATGGGAATAGACACTTCCGTTGAGAGGTATCACGTCGGCGGTTAGAGTCTTATGAAAACGTGTTTGAACAGGTGCAGAGGGGTACCATGTGGCGAGGGTGGACGGTGCTTCAGGAACCACATCAAAGCACATCTAAAATTTCATTGACACGAGACGCCGCCCGATAGTGCTTACAGACGACGTCAGACAGTATTAGGCGTGCGTTGATATCTACTGTGTAGTTTTTCGTGATTGGGCACGCGCGCAAAAGCAGCAGTGGCCCCTGTGTCCGACCAGTTTCTCAGAAAGAGCTAAAGAGGAGGAAGGAGACACAATAGCTCAAGGATTGTAGAGAAAATTCGTCCATCTTTGTTGAAGGAAATTTTCTGAAGCCGGTAGTGGCCGGGAGGGTGGTTGATAGGCTACCAGGAACTGCCGGGTGTGCGTGCCTCCCAGATACTGTACAGCACACCATCGATCGACGAACAAATCCAAGTCACACGACCCCCGCAGGCAAGACGTGCCCAAGAAAGTCCAGCGGTTCTTCATGGACCACACTGATGAAGTCCTGTGCTTCGACACGCACCCTTCCCGCCCTTTGGCCGCCAGTGGACAGAGGGGCCGCCTCCCGAAGGTATGCCAAGCCTGTAGCGTAGAGAGCAGCATCTATCTATACCAAATAGACACCACGTAGAGTTCAGAGGGTTCTCTCCTAAGGTGGACAGGCTAAAAATGGAGAAGAAACAGGAGAAGAACAACAACTAGAGCAGATTGCTATTGCCAGCGCTGTGCTCGTCAATATTATCTCCACGACTTTGTGCCACCGACGGTAGTGCATCCAAGGTGCGCCCTGCCACTACCAGCATTCTTTGCCATAGATCAGCGATAAGCTTGTCACCTCCAACAACGCAGCGTGTACTGATTTTCTCGGCTATGGTGAGTTATGGTTTCACGCCAACTTTTTCGCCAAGGTTTTCTCTTCATGCGGAAGATTTCGCGCATGAGATTCTTTAGTCGCGCTGTGGTGGAATCCTTCGATCAACCGGACAGCATCGTGTGATGATTTTCGTTTCATCGCGCCAGGTCATTGTGTGGGAGATGGGAGAGATGCGGACGGTCAGAGTGCTGGAGGGGTACCACCGCCGCGCTGTAACCACGGTTACGTTCTCGCCCGACGGTCGACTCTTGGCCACGATGGGGGCCGACGATCACCACGGACTGGCTGTGTACGACTGGGAGAACTCCGTGCTCTTGTGTACAACCAGGTGGGCGTAGCTAGACAAAAACAAGGTCTCGTGGTAATTCTCTTCTCTGGTGACAACAGACAATCGTTCAAGACTTGTTGGTGTTCCCGTCTTCTACTTCTATGGGACTATCGGCTACGTAATTTCCACCCCCCTTTCAGTCCAAGCGGGCACGCAATCTCTCTTATTTACAACATCTTGCATGCCGTCTTTCGTTCGAATTTGGTTTTTGTCAGCATCACTTGCGCCAGCCGGTTGTCGAGAGGAGGTTGTCACACGGCGTTTCTGTTCATGTCATTATCGTTGCTCCCCCAGGACCGGTCCGGCGAAGACCTTCTCCCTCGGGTTTACCATCAACTCCGACGGTCTCATCCTGTGCGCGGATGGAACGGTAGATTTCTGGACGATACAGGTGAATTGAGGTTACATTGTGCTCTAATAATTGGAGGTGCTTTCAGTCACGTACACAAGGTGGGCAAGCGGACGACTCAGCACAGACCAGAAACGTGTGGAATGCTTCGAAGCATCAAGTACAACGAAGATGAAAACAAGCTTTCCCATTCGCTCAGCGAGGGCACCCACCCACCCACCCTACAATGTGGCGCGGAAATAGAGTGTTTCAACAACCCTAAACCCGAGCATAGATCCACAACTAAGCCAACCTTTATTGGTTTTCTTGGCACGAAATTACAACAGGGTGGGCAGAACATGACCAGGAGACCTGCCAGCCTCGGACCTTTCGGGAAGCGGCAGCTCTTCCTGTGCCAAGGATGGGACGGGACGAACCCTGTCGTCGGAACCTTCGATGGGCACATCTACAGGTTACGAGAAGACACATTATGTAGCGATGCTCCCTGTCAGACTTGGTTGTGTCAAGGATGGGACGGGCCGAGCCTTTTTCTCATACCGTTCGATGAACACATGTTTAGGTTTCGAAATCACCATAATGCACCGGTTGTTTCATACTTATGTTAACCTTTGTGTCGGGGGCAGGACGGCATGGACCCTGTTGCTCAGTCTTCGATGGACACATCCACAAAGGTATTGGCAAGTGGAAGGGGAGCTTTGAAAGCGCTGGAATTCTTTGCCGGTTAGCTCGCACCAAGAATGATCCTCGCTCAATTTCCTCTCCTTCCGATGATCATTTTGACACGCGTCCAGTTTATCGTTCACCTTAACCCGAGGAAATCCGTCCACTCACGCACACGCCTCATCTGCTCCTCTCGCGTAGGTTCTTAGGGCGTCGCCTTGATGCCTTAGTAAAGGCCCACACCACAGAGGTAAGGGAGGAAGCGCGTCAGTCAGCATTGTCCTCTCGGCGAAATTGTCGCCTGGACAACACTTACAGTAACTCTGTTTTGTCCTTCAGACGAACGCGTTGCCGTTTTCTCGCGCTTCGACCCTCTTGCTCGTCCTCCGTATATACGAGTGGACCGAAATAATAGGTGGCGCATGGCAAATGATAGGGTGCCCCGACGGCGTACATTTTTCACGGTAGCAAGTGTGCATTCACGATTCATGCGCAGTCTCGTCCAGTGAGGTAGCGAGCATTCTGATGGGAAGTGTGGCACGACTGAGCGGGCTTCAACCATCGCGCACCAACCACTTGCAGGAGGAGCAGGAGCAAGATAACTCCAGCCCAAACTACACCGACCTGCCGTATCCCACTACTTGCCGCCATCGTTATTGTAGCCCCAACCGCGGCGGCACGATCAGTCTGCTGAAAAGGGTCTTCTCTCCTCTGCTGTTGTCTTGCTGCCACGTCGTACTGTCGTCGCCTGATTGTCGTTCTGCTCCATCTTGTGGAAAAGGTTTTTGCGCTGTGCTCCACCGGGGAAGGGCTTGTGTCGGGGGGGGCTGATGGCTACGTAAAGGCGAGACATCTTCGAACAGTTGGTTCCCTTCATGTTACTGGCAGCGTAAAGGGTACATGGGTGCAGGGTGGAATTTTTTTCTTTGATTGAGAATCGAGTACAGGCGTTTGCTTCGTTTGGAGATCGTTCGAAGCTTGGTTCTAACTGAATCGTGTTTTTTGCTTGTCTATTCACAGATTTACGCATGGCTGAGGCGGTACGCCCCTCGATACACACGAAATGGCGATAGAACACATGTGATGCAACTTAGGAAGATAATACAAATGGTTTGGACGCCCAACTGGACTGATACTGTTCAAGACGACACCGACCCGTAGTTTCTGTTGAGAAGCATGGTGACCACTGGACCACTAGCCAGCCTAAAGTACTGGGTTCGAATGCTGACGAGCAGTCTAGTGGTCATCGTGCTTCTCAACAATATCTAACGTCCGGAAATCGCATCTCCCCTAGAGCATTATAGATGTGTTTCCGCCCGATATATGGGAATCAAAAGCCTGATGAACTAATCTTCACCAAGTCTCCGATTACCTGCTTGCATCGATCTGGCAAACGCAGCGCTGATCACAGGGATGGCAACCTTGGGGGGGAAGTGTTCGTGGCTTGACAACTTCACGGACTCGGACATTAACTTTGGTTCAGAAGTACGATGACCACTAGATCATTAGTAGGCGCCAACTAGTGGTGCAGTGGTCATCGTGCTTTTCAGCAGGTTCATTTTCTGATGAACGAACCCGGTGTTGCGCAAAAAGGGGTGTGTTGCGATTCGAGACGGCAACAAGCCCGCAGCGAGTGCCGGTAAAAGAAGAGGGAGGGTATACATATTCCGCATACAAAAAATTCACGTAACACTCGTTTCGCGATGTCCCGGCGTCGTCTGTTCCGGTAGATCTGGGGGCACAATCTTCAGCCTCGTCACCAACTAAACCTCTTGACGTCTTCTCTGAATCCCTCGATCCGGAGTGTGTCCTGGCACACGAGCAATGACAAGATCCTGGTCGGGACGGCAGGTACAGAATCCGGTAGTTGTGGTTCAGTGGGAGATCGGCCCGCCGTCTGTTTCCATGCCCTTCAGCGCAGGCGGCGATTGATACGCGACGGATACTTTACGGTTTTCTCTTCTCTGTTGGGCTAATGACGTGTACTATCAAAGAGTGTTCTCCCGTGGGTATGGCAAGAGTCACGGCTGTCGCTCCCGTTGTGACTGTGCAAATATCGCTTCCGCCGCATTTGTGCTCTGAACAATTGTGAAGCGCATACCGCGCGTCATATTGTGACTCCGGAAGCCGTGTTTTTTCGGTTGAACCAGTACGGAAAATTGAGGCACCGTAGCGCTGAGAGTGTCTTGGTACATACCAGTGCGAAAAGATCGCGAAAGCACCACCACCACCAACAACAACAACAACAACAACAACAACAACAACGCCTTCGTTCTACAGGAAACGAGCTGTTCGAATTCAACGCGACCAGCGGCGACAACCTGCACGAAGAAGGGAAGCCGCTACTGAGAGGACACGCCGCGAACGAACTGTGGGGGCTGTCTTGCCACCCGTCGGCCCCGGAGTTTTGCACCGTCGGGGAGGATAAGCAGCTGAGGATCTGGGACATCTACTCAAAAAGGTGCGTTTGGTAATTAATCAAGTCTTCAACCTTGAGTCATGATTGTATGGCCGCGAATATTGAACATGCAGAGCGAGTGTACCTGAAACATAGATACAGTCGACCCAGCTTTAAAGACACACCACGTTTTCCCACCAAAAAAGTGTCTTCAACGCGTGGAAGTGTCTTCAAAATTCCGGGGCCACTAACGCACCATCCCCGGGGCCAATGAAGGCGAAACATATGTCAAAAGGTGCGCATTCGCAGCAGAAAGGCGACCACAAGAGGTGTTGTTTGAAACCTACGACACAAGGTGATTTGAAGGTCGCAACCACTGCTGCCATTGTGCTGCAATACATACTTGCATACCATCGTTTGAATTTCCCCGTACTGTACCACCAAACCGCTGAAAGCGATGGTGTTCTACGACCTACGCATCGTACATGTACACGACGGTAGTGCGCTGGTGTTGATATGGGCTTTATTATTTGCGTTATATTTCTAGTTATATTATTTTTTAGGCGTTGTCCTCCCCGTGAATATCTTGCCCAAGATCTCGCTACCGCACCTGAGAAATATCGAAGGTTGTAAAACGACACTAGGAAATGTAAGTTACGCAGAAACACAGAGACCAAAAATGTCGGGAAAGCACAGTGACAAAGAGGACACCGCGCCTACCAAAAGGTCAAAACGAGGCACAGCACAACACAAACGCCAAATTCAACCTCACGAGACTTCACCCAAGGCAGCAGACGAACCGCTAGCAGATGGAATGAATCTTTCCATACACCCACACGCAGTGTGCGGCTGCAGCAGACCGTTGTTGATGATCCAGGATCTACAGGTGCTGCAGCACATTTTCTGGGGGGGGTCGAATGGTAGAAAACCCTACCACCCCCTACTTTTTCACATCTGCGGGGCACCATGTTTCTGAGATTTTGTGTGTCCTCAAAGCGGGGAGTGTCTTTAAAAATGGTGTCTTTAAAGCGGGGACGACTGTACTTAATTCGACCGAAGGGAAAAATTATTTTCATCTTTGTAGTTCCTAGTCCGTAGATGTTACTTTTTATTAGAGTGTTTTCGAGGAATTTTCGGGCGTCCTCCGGGTGTGGGACTTGTTTGTATTTAGGCAACGACAACAACGGACCCTAGGTCGGTGAGCCTTCGGCACAGGTGCCGCTTGTCTAGCTCCGGTTCTTCTGGGAATGTACTCAAAACGCACGGTTCTCATACTGAATTCTTCGGGCGATGACAACGACCAGGCCCATGCGGTGCCACGAGGTGGAGATGCCGTCAAGGGCGGTGGCCTACTCCCCAGACGGGTCAAAGATTGCCGTCGGCTTCGGCATGCCGATCCGGGAGAGCAGCAAGCAGTTCGACGGGAAGTGGATCGTGCTCCAGGAGGACGACTTCCAGGTGAGTCATCACTAGATGAACCATTTTGTATCTACCACGAAGGGAGAGAGCTTGAAAGCGCTGAAGGTTTCGTCACAGAGAGAGACAGAGAGAGAGAGTTTAGAAAATAGCATGGTTTTGAATGCACTGAAGATTTCGCGACACAGTGGGAGGGCTTGATCTTCAGATCTTTGGCGTTGAAGCCGACGTACATTCGATCGACAATACCGCAAGCGATGATAAATGTAAGACCCCCCGTTGTATTCCAGACCCTACCGTGCCATCCCAGTGGTTTCGTCGGACTCGGAATGACCCCCCGATCGATCACCCGGAGTAAGATGTGCGTCAGACCCCCGTTTTTTTTTCCCAGACGATAGACGGTTTTCACGACTTGACCGAAACTACGGCGAGTTCTAGTTTAGACCGTCCTATACGACAGGCAGTTCGAAGGCAACAGTAGCATGCTACGAGAACACGACGATCGGGCTTGGATTCATGGACCGGCGGGTGTGGTTGTGATGACGCATGGAAGTTTTCCATCCCAATACCCACTGATTCTAGCCGGACAATGTTTGGAGGAGGCTGAAATATTGCTTGGTGTGTTCTTCCGCTAGAATCACTGCCCTTTGAATGATGCGCAGTATCACGATATTTTCGGACAAAAAGTTACGCACCTGTTGAAGAAGGGCTGCCCTCAACCCACCATACCTTTCCTGGGGCGGCCCTTTGTATGCAGTAAGCCTACGCTGTTCGATTTCACTTCGAAAAATTATCGTGCGATATAAAAAAGAACGACACGAGCAAAAGAACCACAAATCGTGTTGTTATGTTGTCACATAGGTCCTGCACGCGGCACGCGACTCGCAGAAGCACATCACAGACATCAAGTGGGCGCCGAGCGGTCAGAGCTTGGCGATGGGGGCTGCGGACGGCAAGGTTTACGTGTACAAGTGAGTGTCTGGGTCCGTCATTGGTATTTCCGGGGTTATAGGTAACGAAGGGGGCCGAGGGCCGGGGATTGTCCCCCCTGGGGTTCAATCATACCTTGAGCGAGCACTTTTTAGAGGAACAAGGATCGTGAACGGGCTTCACGTCGTGACAAGCATTGGTCAGTAAGATCACACCGTACGTAAGCGGTGCCGCTGAACCACGCTAAAGGCCGCGCCGGTGGGATCGTTCTCTGAACCGCTGTCATTGAGGCACGAGCGTTTACACAGGCCTTACGATGGATGCACTTGTTACATGTTGGATCGCAACTGCCACAAAGTCCCCACCTATTCTCTTCGGGTGTGTGATTCCACCCTCCTTCCCTTCGCCCGTCCCCCCATCCGTCCAACCCGGCATGCTCACACGAAAAAAACAAAACACTTGGCGGTTTCCTCGCAGCACGGACGAGAAGTACGTTCTTGCTGCCATGCTGACGACACACAACAGCCCCATCGTCGCCATCGATTTCAGCACGGACGGCCGCTACGTCCGATCTACGTGCCAGGTGTGAGCAGAGACACCCATCATCCGATCGCGGTCCGTCGCCAAGCAAAAGTCAGATTTTTCATTGATTTTTCTGCGCGATGAGAGCCAGCCAAGGCCAACAAGGAACCGGAGTGGGTGACAGAGATGGAATAAACTTACTCTGTGAGGGTCGAACCTGGGGACTTTGCCCTGAACCTATCCAACACTCCGTGTCACCCAGCTGCGGTACCCCCCTCTTCTCACTGCTCCCTGTTCTATACCCCTCTGTAACGCCGCTATCCCGCAGGCGTATGAGCTACCCCCCTCCTCTCACTGCTCCCTGTTCTATACCCCTCTGTAACGCCGCTATCCCGCAGGCGTATGAGCTACCCCCCTCCTCTCACTGCTCCCTGTTCTATACCCCTCTGTAACGCCGCTATCCTGCAGGCGTACGAGCTGTTTTCGCACGAGGCAGATACGGGGATGGTCATCCCCGCGGCGTCTCGGCTGAAAAACGTGCAGTGGGACACGCAGACGGTACTCTTTGGCTGGGCCTCTCAAGGGGCATGGCCCCCTGAACTCGACGGCACAGAGGTAGACTGAAAAATTACCACCTTGTCGAACCCAATCTCTGAAGGAGAAACTCACACGCTGCTGCCCTTCCCCTTCGTATCAGTCATAGGAAAACATACGAAACTCATCGTCTTAGCTTATGTCCTCGGTGTTTGAGATCGTGAAGCTTTCCGAGTACTTCCTCGAATACTGCGGTAAAAGATGAGCTGGCGGTGCTGTTCGGCTGGCGTTCCTTAATTTATCGTGACTCGGGAGAACCATATTACTAAGACCATAACTTTCTGCTTTGAACAAAGGTCAGGTTGAGTTCGCCGCTTGTTGCCTTTGAACAATGAATAGCCGTGGCTTGAGTATTGTCGTGTCATTCGCCATTGGCGGTATCCGGAACGCTAATTTCTTGTTCAAGTGCTAGTCTACAGGGTGTTCAACCCGTTGCTGCCAGCTCGTTTCGGTCTCAGTAGTTTGGAAGAACGTACTACAGCAAACACCCGCGCGCGTTGGATCGCAGATATTAATTCCACGCCGTGGCATGCGATCAAACCGTGCTTGTGTCGTGTTGGTATCGTGAGCTATGTCCCGGGTACAGTGGACGGTGTACTGCCGCCTTCAACGTGTCTGTGACGCTGGCGTGAAACCAAAACAATTCGATACGAAGAAATAACTGAATGTGTGTAACCCATCAAGCTGAGGTTGTTGGCGTACTACATGTGCGTATCATACTCATATTGAGGATACTACAACAAGTTGATCACGACATCTGATGAACTCTCCCCGAGTTCAGGTCATGAGCATCGATGCGACACTCCATTCCGAACACCTGAGCAAGGCCGTAGCTGCTGGCGACAACCTCGGGCGGATCCGCCTCCTCCGCCAGCCATGCACCTCACCCTACGCTGACTCCAAGTCATACAGGTGTGTTACGAATGCTGAAGAAATGCGGAAGAACACGATGCCACGGCGGCGGCAGGGGGGCAGGTTCGTTGGATGCTGACGTCGGATGCATTCATACTCCCAGCAGCTGGTGGATTCACTACTTGGCACCTCTCCGTTCAAGCCTCACACAATCCAGTCGGTACTCCGAGGCCGGGGTCATCTTCAAAAAACGGACGCACGTGTACATGATACCGCCTCTCTTACCAGATCATTCTTGTGCGCAGGGCACATTCGGCGGGAATCACGCGCCTGCGCTGGAGCATGGGGCAGAGTCACCTAATTTCCATCGGGATGGAGGACCGGTGTGTCATACAATGGCGACACGAGAGGGATGATCTAGCCGGCAAGGAAGCTAGCAGGTGAGGAGCTCTTCGCATGTCATGGGCATTTTGATCGAGGATATCGCAAGTTGTGCACCTCCACTGAAACGAACGAAACGACTCAAACGACAGCAGTAATAGAATTAGCTAGGGTGAAACGCGCGCAACTTGCCGCGAAAAATGCCTCTTGCGCTCGTTTGTTTGGCCCCGCGAAAGGACAACCAGGCGAAAACGCAGTACTAGTCCGCAACCCGTCTGTTCAGCTCTGCCCCTCTGGAACGGTGTACCTCTCTACTGTGTTGTCCCGCTGAACGTGAGCGTCTGCTCACTTTGCCTCATGGACTTAATTCATACCCCCCTTCATGCTTGCGCCCTCGAACTACCAAAACAACCAAACGAATATTTCAAAGGCCCAACGCCGCGGTCGCGAGCGCGGCAACTTCAGGAGCAGCGAGAGAAGGCCCGGACGCACCGAAAGCGAACGTCGGCGATCCCTCTGATCCCTCGGAGGCGGCGGCGGCGGCGGAAGGGCCTGCGCCGGAAGACAGCGATGCTGACCCCGAAGCCGACGTTCTGGGTGCTGCAGGGCAGCAAGGCGACGGCCTGTTGTCGGCCAGCAACTGGGAGGGCGGGCGAGCGGAAGACAAAAACGTGGATCGGCCGTGGGTCAAAAACGTAAGATGGGTCCTCTATCGGCCTCGTGTTTTCGACCCTGGTCGTGTATGGATTTCGCTGCAAGCGGTGGTCCCGTAGCGCGGTATGGAGATGCTTTCTCAAGTGAGGCCTTGTTGTCACCAACAAAGGGGGAGAGCAGGCAGGCCGAGGCGTTGAAATAGCGTATGGTCTGTGGGATTCTTTTCACGTGCCCCGCAAAACATGTAGGCAGAGGGGGAGGGATGTCAGGTCTTCTCGCGAGCTCAATCACAATCGTTTTTTCGAAATCCTTAACTTGTTCGCTAAAGAATCAAAAGTCGTAAATACAACAATACGACAAAAGCGTTTCGGTACTCTAGCCATGGTACCGATCCTGCTGTTTCTGTACTGCCGCCCCTCCCTCAGCTTCGAAAGCGGACACTAAACAACATACATTTTCGCACAGGTCACCACGAGGCTTTTCCAAAATTCTACCACGTCATTGGGAACCATTTCAAGCGGACATCACCGCCGGCCCTGAAGCATTCTTCTTCGTGCCAACGGTCACCGGTGTTTGTCCACCCACTTACACAACGTTTTTGTGCCGTGTTTTTTCTTGCCCTGTGTGCCTCAGATGATCGAGCCTTCGTACGCGCTGGATCTGGGGAACGACACGAGCGCACCCAAGCAGAGCGTCTCCCTTGCATCCGTTCGCGGGATCCGGAGCCAAGGATTGGCGCGAGGAAGCCTCGCCTACAACCGGGTGGGGGGCCTGGTGTACCCGGCGGCCACCATTGGGGTCGTGTACAGCCGGAAAACGCACAGGTATCTACCGCGCGGAGACAGGCGCAGGCGTGTGCACTAACCTCATTTTCTGGCCGAGCAGGACGATCACCGTACAGGAACCTATCTCCGTAGAACGTGTTTTCGTCACTCACCGGAAGAGCATGAGTCTGCGAACTAGTCGACTTGCGGCAAATTGTCGGTTCCGTGGAAAAGCCTGGGGTCGGCAGGACACCGCTTTTTCTGGAACTTCCTCCTTTGATTTTGCACCATTTCTGCCCAACAAACTTCTGGCATGCACTTTGACCTACTCTGTATTCCCCCGTTACATTGTCTCCGTCATCAAAACGATCTTATTCGGCTATGATGAGGGCCGTTCCAAGCTAAACAGAGTGCCGCCCCCCCGTTGCCTGCTTTCAATGTGTTGTCGTCCTCAACAGCCAGGGATACTTTCGCGGGCATGCCGGGAAACAAATAACTTTCCTTCGCGTTAGCCCGAACCAGCGGTTTGTTGCGTCAGGCGAGGCCGGAACAAGACCGACAGTGCGCGTGTGGGATGCAGCCACAAGTGTCGAGGTAGGCAGGGAAGATATGAAGAATCACCCCCCGCGTGCGGGTATCAAGCAATGTTGGTCTTACAATTTGTTTCCCATCCTGCGGATACCATGAACACCACGCATACATGTGTTCACGAAGAAGGCCTTCACCACATGCCTTCCAGCACAACAGCGTCACGGTTTCAACTTAGTAGTTCTAGCTGGTCTGGGGTTCGTGGATAGAGGGGATGCGAGCTGTCGCTCTGATGACCCTCACGGTGGATAGTGGTAGGATGCAAGCATGTGGTCGTCCGTTTTCCGCCCACCGAGGTGGCACAACTACCACCCAGACTACATGGGCACGCGGCCGCTTTGAACGAGCCCAGTCTGTGTCGAGACAGCGGTCGTGTGCCACGTTCGGGCATGTCCTGCGGCCGCCCCAGCGCAAAACCGCATCTTGCCACGTGCTTAATAGACGTATGATCAGAGCGCATGAGGCCTCCCGGGCAAATCCCAGCCCTCCCCTTCCCATCCTGGTTTTTCAGTTGTTACCATCCCGCCAACTTGCTGGTACCGATCTCGGTTGCTTGCGCGATGCACACTCGCACAGCTGTGTACGCTTCCGCACTACCACCGCCAAGGGATCGCCAGCCTAGCGTTCTCCAAGGACGGCAGGAGGCTGGCCACGGTTGGGGTAGATTCGGACAAGTCTCTGGCCGTCTGGCGATCTTGCTCGGGTGAATGGTACGACGCCGAGCTCCAGGTGGGGGATGTGGCATGATGGGGGCAAAGATAGCTGTTTGTGGTGGGGCTTGGCTACGGGCTCGATGCATGCGACCGTGCATCTTTCTTCCCGCAGCAATACTAGAACAGAACCAACCTCCCTTCACATTCAGATCGATTCGCCCGCCGTACACGTGTGAGCGCTAGATTTTCTCCTGCAACACGAAGCAGGGAAGCATGACTTGCACACAATGAACATGAAGCTTACCTCTCGAGGTGAGTTCAGCAACGTTGTCATGTACTTTATTCAAGGTTCCCTTCTGCTGGAATAAATGTATGTTTGAGTTTAGCAGGGTGCAGTCTGAACACACGGTGCCAGCTACGGTTTCCTCATACACCCGCTGTGTATGTCTCAAGGGCCTAAAGTCAGCCAGTAGGGGCGTAAACAAACCGAAGGTTCGCTCGCGACGTCGATGATCACTTGCATACAAGTGAAGATAGACATCCACGGCACACGGAAGCAAGCTACACTCGTTCTTGTTTCCGCTCGCTCTCTTTCTCCTGCACTCTCGCCCAACACACCCTTAATAACGCGCACCAATGGGACAACAACGCGCTTGGCAGGCGACCGGGAAGGGGGGGCGAGGTTTCGGGCACGTGTTTTTCGCGGAGTTTTCTCACTCAGACGACGACGAGCTCCGCGTCATTACCGGAGGGGTCGGTCACGTCAAATTCTGGGCTCTTAACGGAAGGTAAACAATTATATGATGACGAAGAAGGAGAGAAAAGAAGAATGCGCGTATCGTTGAGCCCCGTGGGTATAAGCACTGATGCCGAGCAACTTTACGTTCAACAGGCAGGGTCCTTGGGTAGGTTTCCCAAAACAAACACACTTTCAATTATCCAAACATCCTATGTTTCGCTCTTCCGGTTCATCACTCTTGAACATCAGCCAGGGGAATAAGGTGTTGGCTGCGGTGTGTAAAGGTGATGCGTAGCTGTAGTTACATCCCTTTTGCTTGCCGTTTATCTATATCGTCCGCTGCATCCGCACTCTGTGGGTTTAGTCAGGCGGACTAACGTGCAACTTGGTGGACAAGGTAGGGAGGTGGTGGTTGTTTTTTACTCCGATCGCCTACCTGCACCCACGCAGGAATGGTAGATGGCGTATATTATGTCTGGTGAATTCGAGAAGAGTCAACAATCAATATCCCCGGCAACGCAGAAAGAATCAAATGCTGGATGAAACCACAACGGAGGAGACGGATCCGACTTGTTTCGACAACTCTGCGTCGTGTTGCCTTCCCCCTTCTGCAATGCACGCATCGTACGAGTAAGCTAGGCCACCTGGAAGCTTGCCCCCAGCCAAGAAAAACGTGAGCGGCCTTGTCCTCCGTTGATGTTCACCGTTATTTGCGCCTGTCGTGATCATCGCCATCACGCCGCACCGCGCCTCGCTGCACACGGCCCGACGTTTGCCACCGCAGGTTGTTCAACGCCAGAATGGGCCTCTTTGGGAAGGTGGGCAAGCGGCAGACGATGCTGTGCGGGACGGCCATCGCGGCGGCCCGGTTCGTCAGCGGCGGAGTAAGCGGCCACCTGTACGTGTGGAAGGGGAGGTGAGAGTCGTTGCAGTCGGGGCCCCTCTATGGTGCGGGTATGCACGTTGCCAAGCGCTTTCACCCGCGCCATGGCGGGTACCCGCAACATTCAATGTATTAATCAAACTTGATTGTTCCCTCTGTGCCAGCCAATTTCACCTGCATGGCATCTACAGGCTGCGGTGTATAACCGCTTTCCGTACTTCACAGATGCGATCTTTATTGGTCCGTCATATTCGTTTCATTAGGTTTGTACACTGCCGTCCGTTTTTCAAGAGCTTGGAGACAGGCCACTAAACTGTTTCCTCGTCGATAACTGCACAACATACGAAGACTATGTAGGTTGTCCACTAGCCCTAAATCGTCCACATTATTGTATGCTGGTGCTTCAGGTGGCTCGAGAAGACCCTGCGCGCCCACCAACGGTGCGTCAACTCCGTCCATCACACCGCAGGGGGCTTAGTCACGGGTGGGAAGGACGGCTTTGTCAAGCTCTGGAGCACGCAACTGGCGCACCTCAAGACTTTTGACTTGAGCGAGGTGACTACCCAACAAGGATGGTTCTTCCGGCAGGCAGAACTTCTCTTTTTTTCATACTCATGAAAGTAAAATTAGGACGGGACTTTTTTGTTCGGAGACGTTCATTGTGACGTCCTACAACAGGGCAGATGATTCCGCTGGAAAGTGAGAAGCGCTGGCTGGCAACGTTGGGCTGAAGATGTTGGCTCGTCCGATTCGTTGGTCCTGATTCAGTACCCTCGTTCCCCTCCTTTCTATTGCCGACATGCGCATACACAAGGTGATCCGTAAGGTCCGCACCCGCCATCACCCCATCACTTGACATGCTGAAAAGAACGAAACAACCGAAACTCGGCCCCATCCCAATCGTTGACATGCTCACATTGACAGCACATGACTGTCGCTGGAAGTGGTGAGACCAGAGAATCCCGTTTTCCAAGCTGGCATCCATACCCAATAACGTAGGCGCAACACTCTCCAACAATCAAACAGCCAAACACTCATAATTCGACACAGCTTCACTCTTGATGCGCCTCGCCGAATGTCCCACTGCGCTTCGCGTTTGGTGCAAAGCATCTCAGCCTCGCCCGGTGAGAACCCGGCGTGTTGCGTCCCGGCTTTCTAGGGGCGCACGGTCTATGGTCTTATGGCTGCGACATGATCATGAATACACCCCCTCCCCCCCATTCCAGTCTCGGTTCTTCACCGAACAACTCTCCGCCCCCCTCCACCCCCACGCCCACACCCCAAACCCCCTCTAGGCTACAGTCCCGCCCCTTCTTCGTGGTGTGCGATCGGTCTGCGCGTCTCTCGACGTTACCGGGTCGGAGGTGATCAAGATCGCGGCGGTGACGGCTGGCTCTGAGGTTTACGAGATAAGCAGGGAGAGCGGCTCCATGATGTTGCTGCAGGTGTGTGGTTGGTGGGTTGGTGTGGTGCATGCTGGCGTTTGGCGCTCGTGAGATCGACAGCGCGTGCCTATGATCGGTCTGAGGTGCTGCCCAGGAAGTAATGACGGCATACAACACACCGAATTTTGAAAGAAAGATCACAACAAGCACGGCAATAACAACAACAATAGCGACGACGACGACGACGACGACGACAACAACAACAACAACAACAGCAACAACAACAACAACAACAACAACAACAACAACAGCAACAACAACAACAAACCCCGACCACAGCGACCACAACGACCACAACGACCACAACCACAACATGACAGGAGGGCCACTTTAGCGGGCAGCTCTGGGGGCTGGCGGCACACCCTACGGATGGAGACATCTTCGCAACGGCTGGGGACGACCACAGCATTCGAGTGTGGAGCGTGTCACTTGGAGTCATGCTGCGGAAGGCGTACGTGGATGGCACGTGTCGAGCGCTGGGATGGTCACCCGACGGCCGGTACGCTACAGCAGCAGGTTGTTATTTTCTCGTACTCATCCCCCCACCCATACGGCAACCTAACGTTTCTATCCAACTAATCAGTCCGCCGGGCCTTTTTGCTGAGCTTCCGCGTTTCTCTCATGAAGGCTTATACTATTTCCCCCTGCCCGCGTCATCGTGCGTACATTGATTTCAATTATTGGCCCAACACTCGAAAAAGGCTCCTCCTCATTGGGATGGGCGGCAGCATCGGTTGCGAGCGCACGAGGAAGGATGGGACGGTAAGCACCACACCCGATCGTTTCTTCGTTTGTATTTTTTTCTCGCTTTAGAAGTTGCTCACGAGTGCACCCACTTACGACGGGCGAAACGCAAGACGTACGGCCACTGCTGATGAAACAGTCCGACAATTGAAGAAGGGAGCTGAAGAGAAAAAACACACGCCGAAACTCATGATGAAAACAGGGGGGCGTAGACGTTACAGTGCAAGCTTCCAAGAGATCAACTCCTTTCGAAGCGCCTCTGCCCGGTGTGTTTGCTTTCATGTTTTTTCCCCACCGCTATCCTCCACGAGGTCATGCCACGGGTGGGTGTGCTGTCCCAGTCATTACTCGCCGTCACGCAGAAACGCAGCTGAGCATTGACTAAAGGCATCACGAGACTTAGCGGGAAGTACCTCCCCGGTCATGTCCGCGGTCCGAACTCGTTTTGCGAATATGCGCGTGACGCTTCCATGGCCATCAGTTCTTGATTTTCGACGTGTACAACATGGAGATCCTGTACGAGGGGAGGGACTCCCGCTCTTGGATCCGGGCGTGCTGCTTCAGTCCCGACGGCAAGACCTTCGCGGTGGCGTCGACGGACAACAAGATCTACATCTACGACTCTAAGTCCTATGGGCTCAAGGCTAAGGTTAGTGGAGGTGGAGCGAGGTAGAACGAACGCGATAATCTTTTTATCTGCTTTGCAAGGAAGGATGGTTGGTAGAAAGACCATTTGAAAACAGTCAGCGTCAACTCCCACCTATCATTGTCATCTTATTTTCCAGATCCCAACAATAGTTCACACAGCACTTTACGTATCGATGGATTTGGGATTCGCAGTATGATTCCCCACCACTCAACCCGCTGACCCTTTTCTCGATAAATTATTGTTCGTCCATTCGTACCTGCGTCAACTACTCTGATAATGGTGTGTGGTGGACCTGACGTTTTCGATCAACGTATTGAAATGAAATTGTGAGAATGAACCGCGTACGGTCCGCAGAGCAACCTCCTACGGAGCCCTGGGAGCACTTTGCAGAAACCCCCGACACTAAATTAACACGCAGGCCCAGAAACACAACAGCCCCCTCGTGGCCCTGGACTTCAGCGAGGACTCTAACTACGTGCAGTCCGCCTCCGAGGACAACGAACTCCTCTACCGTGAGTTGTGACCAGCTTTAAAGTTTCAAGTCTTGTTATATGAAAAGAGATGACTCGCTCATCTCGTTTTCTACAACCATGACGTTTTGATTTGCACGTCGGCAAGTAAATGTCATCAGTAGATATTGTGAAACGGGCTTGTTAATTGTGAGGTGTAAAACTTTTGTACCGTCAGTCAGGTGACGCACGACACCGCCTTTCGTCCCTGGGACTCGATCGTACACGCTCGTGACATGTGGACTAGTGCGAGGAAGGAGAGGGGGAACGTAAAGCTGGAGGATGTCGCACCTAGAGCTATCAGTTCTCGATGCCATAGGCGACGCAGTGAAAAGTTCTCAGCGAGACGTTAACCAGTGGCGCTGAGTACGGCGTTTGTGTACTCCGCGCCCTCGTTGTGGTTCGTCACCCCCCCACGCCCGCTTCTCCTTTCAGATAGCGTTGGCGACGGCCTGCCGTTCACAGTGCAAGCCCAGCTGAAGCACATCAAGTGGTCACAGTACACGTGTCCGTTCGGCTGGCCTGTTCAGGGGGCCTGGCCTCCCGTAGCCGAGGAAAACGCCGCGACGTTAACCTCGCTCCACCGGTAAGTTTGAGGAACCGATGATTTCGTCGCGAACATATTAAGTTCGAGGCAAAACCCGCCTACAATGTCAATGGATGTATCTACACAGACACCTCTTCATTTTGATTGTGTCACAGTGAACACACTCTACCCTTACCTACAATCCGGGTAGCCAACGCGTATGTATTCTCGTCTATCTTCATTTTTGAGCGGTGGCATCGAGTTTTCTCGCGATTACGGTGTCTTAGCCAACCCTACTCAAGAGGCCCCACGGCACATCCAAAGTACTCGATACTACGAGAACGAAAATGCATGCACCCCTTCTTCGTGCCGCCGGGTGGCGGTTGTTTTTTGTGTCAACACAGATCGCACGACAGAACCCTTCTGGTGACCGCGGACGATGCTGGCAATGTCAAGCTGTTCAGATACCCCACACTATCGAAGCAGGTGAGACTAGCGAACGTGGATATATTACGTAAGGGCGATGATTGGTGGGAATGATGTGGTATGTGTTAAAACCAATCATGAAAGGGTGTAGTGGCGCGTTATTCTCCGGCGAGTTCTGCCGTTTCTCCATACATGAGGGGAAAGGGCTTGGCAACGCGAAACCCATTTGCGAGTCCTCCTCCTACAGAACGCCAGCCAACAAATCACCATGTCTGTCTGTTCTTGCGGAGGTCTCCGCGTCAAACAGCTTGCTGTGGTGCATCCTTGGCCTGATGATTTTTCGTCACCGCCATTCGCTCGCCGTCTTTCGTCCTCGGAGTAGGCGGGTTACAAGCTCGTCTCCGGCCACGTCGGGGGCATTTCGTGTGTCAGGTTTACGGCTGACGACGCGCACATCGTGTCCATCGGCAAGGGTGATCGAGCGATCTTCGTCTGGAAGGTCGATGAGGCAGCGGACGGGCTCCCCCCGTAGGGAGGGGTCGGGAAAAAGGGCGAAAGAGCGCCCGCAGCCAAAGCGACGCTGCGTTTTGGCGGTGTCTGCGAAGAGTAGCCGCAGACAGAAGATTGGATGCGAAGGACAGTGCTGGGATACGGCGTGGGAGGGGCACAGGGTGGTACCAATTCGCCCGGCCCTTCCCCTCCCCGGTAGTACGAAGCTACAGTTTAGTCGGGTGGGAAATGATGTGGGGATGAAGCACAGGAGGAATGATGACGGGGTTTTGTATCAGGTTTCGTTTTGACCTTGTAGTTCGCAGGAACATCTTTTGACCCACTCCAGGGCCGAGACCCGGGTTGCAGTTCGAACAAACACACCGCCGACAGGTATGCAGGAAACTGACCTCACGAGCTCCTCGGATGACAACACAATAACATAATAACTGAATCATGGGCTGCTAGATGCAGAAAAGACTGCAGTCAGCGTCCGTGGAAGTGGAGAAAGCTTCCATGGAATGATTGAAGCTTCCATGGAAGTAATGGAAGCTTGGACCACTGCTTCCATCAAATCTCCTGGAAGTACCTCCTTTGAGCTTTGTGGAAGCCTACATAGATTAATAGACTAATGTAAAGAAAGTCTACCACTATTAACAGCCTATTTGGTACAACAGCCCGTACATCGGCATTTTTCTGGATGAACACCAATTTCGCAACGAAAGGAAAAAGGCACATAATGAACAAGGTATCGTAGGTAGAGGGTTCGTCTGCTACACATAGTGTAGTAGGTGGTTCTTGTGCGCTTTGTAAGCTGTGACTGACTTTGTCTTGTCGAAAACTACTACGGCTTGCTGCAATGATGCAATGAATGTCTAATGCGAGGTACAGAACAATTGTGATGGATTAGACTAATTAATTCGAACCACGTGCTTCTTTGTTCCAGCAATGACCAGCGACACACACAGTGGCGGTAGCTACTCAGCACCACATTACGTGGCAGCCACGAAACGGAGGGAAATCAACAAACTAAATCTACTATAGCCACGTACGTACGCCAACGTAGGTTTCTACCGCCGCCGCCGCAGACGTCATAATCTTGTATATAGACTACTACTAGTCTTCCACACAAAAAAAGTAATCAGATCAATATATCATCATATAGATCTATATGTGCATATCATTTCTGAGAACCTCATGCTGCTGGAACTTGAAGACTAATATATCTTGTAGACTGGCAAGAGAAAAAGCTATCCTGTGTGTCGACTGAGCTATCACTTCTGCCTGCAAGAGAGCAAGACGCGCTGACCTTCAGGGAAATCCAAAAAGCTTCACGTCGAGTAGATAATTGTTTTTGGCGGGTTGGGAAAAAAATCCTTCGGAAGGTTTTCGAAACGGCAGAATAAACGAGCATCGCAAACGACACGGAATCCCATGTCGTGCCCGACTGCTAGAGCCTAGCGGCCAGAGGAAGGAGGACCACGCGGTTCCAACATGAGACGCCCCCCACCATATCTTCGCGAAGACGTGAGAGAAGAGGGTTGATTCAGGAATGACACCACAACCTATCTACAGCAAGCAGTAGTCTTGTATAATAGTACTGTAGCGTCGAAAAAGTTTGTCTCGACAGAGCAATGCACCTTAGAATGGCTAGAACGGAAGACAAATAATAAATAACTGTATCGGAACACGTGTCTATTATTATTATTTCGTTTGCCCTCCGACAATGTCTATTGTAAGAGATGTTCTGGTATGCAGGTAATAATGCATTGGTTTGGAGGCAGGGGGTTGCAATCTCATCCTTCGACGAAGTCTTCTAGTAGGGTCGTTATTACTACCATCTCGAGCACGCCTCCGACCAGCAGCTTGGCGAGCAACGCTCAATCGCGATTGATTCGGCGATGACCACCCTCGCCTCGCTCGTCTGTGTTGACTATACGCCGCCTTTCGTTGACCGCAAAGCTGCCAAGAGGGAGATGGATCTTGCGGACAACAGCAACGACGGTGAGCAATGCTTCATTTACAGTACTCAACTAGCCCACCATGGCCCCGAGCCGTCACGACGACTGAATGAAGCAGAGGCTCCCTGCCGAACCAACTGCGCTTCCTCGACTACAAAAAAAAAAATCCAGCAGCCTTTGTTTCCCATCCTATTCTGGAGTGACTGCAGTGGTACACGTTGTCTATCAAAATACTTTGACATCATCATCGATCGATCGTCGTCGGCAAAATAAAACTTCTCTCAAGACATCACAGTATAATTAGTCTATAGTCTATAGATATGCATTTTGAGCTCTCTCGCAGAGACGGTAGTAGTTAACAATCAATCTCCGATGAATCTCAACTAACTACTGTTGAGCAGGTAGCCGGGAATGCCCTTGAGTTTTTTGTTGTTGTCTTACATTAAACAACCGTTCCGTTCTCTCTACCCAGTACCTTCTTCTGTCCGTACTAACTAGTCTAGTCAAACACTTGCGTGCGTGGTGGCTAAAAACACACTGTATCTAAGGTCTAACAGATTACTGTAACCTGAACCTCATGTCTATTATTTTCTGACCGACCTGATCGAAACAGGCACTATTTTCGAACAACGAAGAGAGGTTGTCCATATCTCCGCGTCCATCAAAGTCGATACTGCTGTACCATGTAGTCTAGTTCTGAAATACGACATTGTACGCCATTCAATGTTGACCCGCTGCCGTCCGTCCGTGTTTCGCACCACAGCATATGTATACAGGCAGAGAAATCCTGCTAGATCTTGACAATGGGAAAATACATCAGATCAGAAGGTTCACCGGGAGGGCGGCACGCAAGAAGAGGAAACAGACTACTACTAGCAGATCCGGGGGAGGAGCACAACAACATCATCGCCATCTACGGCAGGTACTTCATGGGCGACACGCATATATTGTGATGTCAAGAATAATAATGGGGTGGCACACAGTGACTAGAAGATGCAAGTATTTTTTTTTTTTCTCCCATCATTGAACTCTGTCGTCTGCCCCTCTGGCCCCTATCCTCCACTTCTACCCGCTAGATGACCCAACCGGGGTCACATAGGAGTAATATAGGTAGATGTGTGTGCCTCTTAAATACTCCTCGTGGATAATGCTCCGAGCGATCAAGTTTGGCGCGGGCTAAGCAAGGTAGGTACTTGCGGTAGCGGCCACAACTTCAAAGCGACTAAACGAAAAAAGCTGAAAGTCCCCCGCTTACTACTCAGTGCATGTACAACGAGCGTTTCTTTACCGACGGCGGATGATACGCTTTGACTATTCTTACACGCCAACAAAAAAACACACCATTCGCAAAAACATGAACAGGGGGAGCGGACTAAAAGTAGAATTGTGCCCAGGCCGCAGCCACCAACGACCTCGTCGGTGTTGGACACCCGAGAGAAAATGGTGAGGCAAATCTTGAGGCTCACGCGCAGCGACAGCTACAGCCCAACGAAAACCACTACCCCATGCGGCCCGGGGAGAGCGTCGCCGGCGACAGCAGAGACGACGACGCCAGAGTGCCGCGCGCGAGGCATTGCAAAGGCAGCCACGAGCCTGGGTATCATCTCGGCGAAGGAGGCGGACATCGTCATCAGAAAGCATGTGAGCCCAAGGATCGAGGCGTATAAGGATATTGCAAGAACAGCCGTGTAGGTGGCGTCCATTGTTGGCACGAGTCCTTCCCTACCCCCCCCCCCCGGTGTGTGCCATCGGGGTTGGGTTTTCGTCGCTTGGCAACGACGTTGAAAAACAAGCCACCCCCTGGGTGTTTGCCATCGGGGTTGGGTTTTCGTCGAAAACAAGCCAAATTCGCTTCGTGAAGTCGGCAACCAGGTTATCACCGTTTGTTTTTTTTACCTCTGTTTTTTTTTTGGCTGTAACCATAATGGTGGTCGAGTAGATCATGTTGTGCGGGGTCGAGAACCCTCACTCCGCGCAAGGGGGATGATCGCACCACGTTGTGTTAAAATGGTCAAGCACCCTCGAGGCAGTTACACAGTGCTTACAACTGAACTGTCTCTGGAAGTGAAGCACCAGAAAATACATTAAGTCATGCAGCTGTCATCCGTACGAGTGTTAAGGAGGACCCGATTCGCGGGGTATCCGTCGATTGACTTTTACCTGAATCGGTACACTTCGCATCTATCTGGCGTCACCTGGATACTGGTTCAAATCTCCTTGGTTGGCTGGGTGCACACTTTTTCTCCTGCCTTGGATATTTTCCCATGGACACAATGTGTGTCAGTCCTGACAACACCTCTTCTTGGAGTCGATCCTGCAAAGAACCTTGTGACGCTTCCATCGAATTACCCATCCTGGCCACATATGCGAAGGTGTACCGATTCAGGTAAAAATCAATCAACGGATAGATACCCTGCCAATCGGGTCCTCCTTAACACTCTCCACCCACAGAATTTACCCTCAACTGGGGAACCTCTTATTTATGGCCATGATGGGAAATTCGATGGAAGTGTCACAAGGTTCTTTGAAGGATCGACTCCAAGAGGTATTCTCAGGACTGACACACATTGTGTCCATGGGAAATATCCAAGTCGGGAGAAAAAGTGTGCACCCAAGGAGATTCGAACCAGTATCCAGCTGACGCCATATATATGCGAAGGTGTACCGATTCAGGTAAAAGTCAATCGACGGATACCCTGCGATTCGGGTCCTCCTTAACACAACAAAGAAGTAAGCACAAGGTGCCGAACACCCTTAGCAGGATGCAGCGCACCCTTCATGCGA